TGATGATCGAATGTAAAGAGTTTTATCTCTAAAAAATGTTTAGCGTATAACACTAGTAATGGGGGCATCTATTAAGTAAAAATAAATCGCTAGTTAATACCTCTAACAAGACTCAAAATAGCCCCACACTAACACAGTAACATAATGAGGGTCCCTACATGCAAAACGAAGCATTGAGAACTTGGTAAGTGTACAGACAGTTAAATAAGAAGATAAAGAGAAAGACAGTCCACTTCGTGTATACAGACAGGAGCCATCTTTGGAAAACAGTCTCGACTAGTCAAACCACGAACGACGTGCTAAGTGAGCTGAACTGTATGAATGGCGTTCGTGGTTTGACTAGTCGAGACTGTTTTCCAAAAACAAATCTCAGAGAACGGTTGACTAGGTACCAATGTTTTATTAGACCAAAGGTTCATTTTGCGCTGGAGTTCTCCTTTAAGCATATAGTCTCTCTCTCTCTCTATATATATATACTGTCTATGAGTTCTGGCGACAATTACGTTCATCTCCGCTTGGTTTTAGTAATAGTGTGATTCAAATCGAACCAGGCAATTGTTATGAATGAAGCGCTATATATAATGAGCCTAATTTGGATTGATTCGGATGTTCATTATTGAGGCTGTGACTGTAATGTTTCGATGAAGATGCGGATCTTTAGCAACATAAACATTTATTCAACAAAACAAGAACATGATATCCAGTACAGAAACACGAAACGCTGTGTGTAAAACACAACCAACTCTAGACGATGAACTGAGAGAACTGGGGACAATAATGAAATAATTCATTTCAGCCAATCTGAAACGAAACAGCTGTATGTGTGGAAATGGGGGAAGATGTCCTTTACTTTCCGTTACGTAAACCTTATGTGCTGTTAAATGTTAGTTGTGTCAAAATATAGTTGAGGTTGTTAAAATGTGTGTAGATCATCAACACAGTGTCTGGCCTCCAGCAAAGACCTCCGATTAAACACACCAGTGTAAACTCAGCTCATGATCTGCATTATAAATCCCAGAACCTTCATTGTTAGATGAACTATCCCTTCCAGGCATTCTAGAAGTGGATTTAGGAAGGTATCATTTAGGATAATGTATAATTATTTTTTTACTAATATTCTAATGACTGCTAGTTGACATGTATTTGTAAAGTTACTATCAGAAAAAAAAGTGTAACCACCCATAATATCACACAACCAGTAGGACACAAAAAATAACTCTTTACAAACAATCAAAGTCAAAACATTCTTCAAAAGTATCCTCTTTTGTGTTTCACAGAAGACAGACAGTCACAGTTTGGAATCATATTTGATTTCTGAGGTGATCTTCTGGGGGCATAGGGCAGTGTAGGACATGACTGTATAATGTGACTGGATGACAGGACAGGAAAGATTCGCTCTCGCTGTATGCTGAGGGGAAGAGAAGACATCAGGACTACAGAAACATCTCTCAGATGTACAGAGCTCTGAGGACCAGTGTGCAGATTTAACCTGTTTAAAGTGAAGTTTCTGCTGAATGGTCCTTCTCAGACTGCTGACTCGATGTGCCGAGCCTGTCAGCATATTCCTCCCTGCGCCACAGTCGCTTCACAAGCTTTACACACCTGTGTATACTTACAGCCGAGACCTACTCTCAGCCTTTGGTGCTTCGGAAAGGTTATTCATGAAGCCATAGATGCCAATAAATCCCCTTTATCTTCACGAGTAAACAGAGCTTGTAATGTGAGAAGCCAAGGTTATCTCACTACGAGTGGAGCTAATGCTATAGGAGTGATGTCTTGATTGTCTTGTGTGTTTGAGTCAGGAGTTAAGCTGTCAACATGAGTCTGGAGATTCAGGTAGTGTGTGTGTCCCACTGAAGGGGCTTGACACGTGCAGCTGTGTGTGATGCGTTGACGTAATTTCCACTGAAACAGGAAGTTAAGGCGGGGCATATTGAATGGCTCCTCCCCCTTTTCAAACAGCCAATAGCGTTTAGTTTCCCTCACAGACAGACAGCTCATGGAAGCGGATCCGAGCGCTGATGAAACGCTGGATTCAATAGTAGAGCTGGAAATAAATCCTAGTCATTTCATTCTTAACCAGCGTACAGTTGGAGAACAGAGTAAAAGTGGAGCGTTTGAGCAACCGAACACACATCTCCAACCCATAATGCTCTGTGACGCGTCGACGCTCGCGTTGGTCAGGTCGTGTTTATAGCAGAGGGGGCGGAGCTTCAGATTCTAGAGAGCATTTGATTGGACAGAATATGTGATGCGATGATGTCATTAAAATCCCTGATCCATTTTAGCGGAAGTGAGAGACTAAGTTTCGAATGCTTATATCTCCTAAATACGAATTTTGTCATTGTTTTGGAGCACACCAGCTTATTCATAACCTTAAGGCTAACATATTCATACTAAAAGCTAAAAAAAAAACTTACATTTTGATTTCAGGGGCCTTTAAATACACACAGGAGTAATCAACAGAAAACCGGTGTAGAACTCATTAACAACCATGACACAAACAAGCAACTACAACTCTTATATATACAACATTCAATATTTGTTACGGTTTAGTGACTATTTAAACATATTCATAACCATAGTTTCTGTTCTAAAGCCTCCAAAGGCTAAAAACATTTAACTTACAAGTTTCAAGTTCTTCTGATGGAAATTCTGCTTTTCTGGTCATCATTTTTGGCATAGGATCTTAGTAATTGTAAACTTCTTTTGTCTTTGAGAAGAGAGTACAGTGAGCAGATGACAGCACTGCTGTAAATATAATCCTGCTGAATGATTTATTAATAGCTCCTCCAGCACTGCAGTGCTAAAAATATGAACCTGCCCGTGCAGAAGGGCAAAGGGCTGTGCCAGCGCAGGGTGTGCTTGTGTTCGATATACTCAGCAATGTTTATCATAATGTGGCATTTTAACTTGATTTTGTGTGCATGGCGATGTGTGTGTGTGTGTTTAAGCACTTCTCCACTGCTGCGAGAGCTCGCACACACTGCCGTCCTCTGCTGTTCTGATGGCGCTGGCGTTTCGCAGCTCTGGCGTCTGTAACCCGAGAGCACACGCTGTCCCCGTGTTCATGTTGGCCATCCCGAATCTGTAAATCTAGAGCCTTCTGGGGGATTTCAGGATTCAGTTATTCCATGTCTCTCACCTGGTCTAGTGTATTCAAAGCCTTCAGAGTCGTCTTTTATACTTTTATTTTGAAATCTTGTTCATTGGTGTATTGTACTTGATATTAGTGGTGTAACGATTCCCTCATGTCTCGAGTCGACACATATCACCATACTGAACTCGATGAGATATTACTGCGATACTTCAAGACATATGGTAAAAGGTTGTCAAAAAATGAACTTGATTAAAATGTTAAATTTGGTTTTACATTGTGTGTGTAAATGAATAGACTTGGACTTGGTGCTGAAACCCAAAGCACAGGACAATAGAGACGCCAGAATAACAATATTCATGATTCTGAAGCTGAAAATACAGCATTATTTTAGACGAATATGCTTGCACTCTTTCACTAGATAGATATTTAAAATAATGTCGGCCACTTTTACTGGTAGCATCAGCTATTTGGCATTATCAGGACACACACATATTCCCCCATTGCATTATTATACATTATACTCAACATTACACTAGTTTAATGTAGTACTGACACTAAAACTCTTGTGGAAAACCCCTATCGGATCCGCTGTGGGCGATCATGGCACTGATGTACAGAGCAGAAACTCGTCCTAAGATTCCTGTAATGATTGTGTGAAGTCCCTCACTGTCTGGTTGGTGCGTGTCTACAGACAGTCATGCGTGTGTGTGTGTGTGTGTGTGTGTGTGTCGCATCTGGCCGGGCCACAGCTGGATCTGTCAGTCTCTTCTTCTCTGGCTCATCCTCGGGATGTTCCCAACGGTCCCAAATTAGCCGACTCATATTAGCATGAATGCACTCTAAAAAAAAACTGGGTTAAAAACAACCCAATTTGGGTTGCTTTCAACCCAAGGGCTGGGTAAATATAGGACAGAAAAAAATTGGGTTGTTAATTTAACCCAGCATACTGGGTTGATACATTTTTTCTATAGTACTAGCTTTTTTTTTTTTTTTACTTCATACATGAACTCATGTTTACAGATTAACTTTAATCCTCTAAACGGTAACACTTTAGGGGTGTGCGTAAGACTGACATGACACATTCACAATTATGACAGGACATGAATATGAAGGAGGTTTTATGCATGTTTATGACAACTGTCATTAAGTGTCATTCGCTCAATTATGACATTTTTAATGCAAATATGACGTTGTTTGAGATGTCTTTGTTATGACAACTTGACATTCCTAAGACAACCTGTCATAAATATGTCATAAACATGACATAGCAGATTAATTATCAAACTTAAGAAAGCACTTATCTTTATGGGTTATCATTACATTAAACTGTCATGTGGTTGGTTTGGACATTGGCTGTCATGAGGCCAAGTTGCTAAAAATGTACCCAAAAGGCTCAACCCAGGTTTTGGTTAGAAAAAATAACCCAAGATTTTTTAGAGTGTGGCATTCACATAACAATTATGATTTATATTATGTGAGAGGGGTTTATGTTCCTGGTAGACCTAACAACATGTGTTTAGGTGATGAATTAAGTGAAAGCTTGACTATAAAATTGAGTTTTTAGTCTAGAATTAATTTGCCAGTGTGTCTGCATACAGAGCAATGCTGGAACGGCTATTCCTGAGTTTAGGAGCCAAACAAATAAATGAATCTTCCTTCCTTTCATGTTGCAATCACTGTAAGCGCACTATAGTGTAGGGGTGTGCCATACTGACAAAATCTATGGATATCTCCATATTTTCAGGAATTTTGTCAATAATGATGATTAGACAATATCTAGCGGAGTATCACGACTCTCACGTACAGTCGCTCTGCCACAACAAAAGCAATATTTCTGCCTCTGCTTTCCACAGTTTGTGATGACCTCACCCTCGTCATCTCTCTCTCTCTGTCCTGACAGTACGAGTACTTTAATGCCGTGTTGATCAACGAGAGGGACGAGGAGGGCAAGAGCGTGGAGCTGGGCGGAGAGTTCATCCTGCAGCCGAACGAACACTTCAACAATCTGTCGGTGAACCTCAGCCTCAGTGTCGTGCAGGTGCCCACAAACATGTACAACAGAGGTGTGATCGCACAACATCACGCACAACATCACGCGCAACATCACGCACAACATCACGCGCAACATCACGCACAACATCACGCACAACATCTTGGCAACATCACACTTAACATCACGCTCAACATCACGCACAACATCACGCTCAACATCACGCTCAACATCACGCGCAACATCTTGGCAACATCACACTTAACATCACGCTCAACATCACGCACAACATCACGCTCAACATCACGCGCAACATCACGCGCAACATCACGCACAACATCACGCACAACATCACGCACAACATCACGCTCAACATCACGCTCAACATCACGCACAACATCACGCACAACATCACGCTCAACATCACGCTCAACATCACGCTCAACATCACGCACAACATCACGCACAACATCACGCACAACATCACGCACAACATCACGCACAACATCACGCTCAACATCACGCTCAACATCACGCTCAACATCACGCGCAACATCACGCGCAACATCACGCACAACATCACGCACAACATCACGCACAACATCACGCTCAACATCACGCTCAACATCACGCACAACATCACGCTCAACATCACGCTCAACATCACGCACAACATCACGCACAACATCACGCACAACATCACGCACAACATCACGCACAACATCACGCTCAACATCACGCACAACATCACGCACAACATCACGCACAACATCACGCTCAACATCACGCTCAACATCACGCGCAACATCACACTTAACATCACGCTCAACATCACGCACAACATCACGCACAACATCACGCTCAACATCACGCTCAACATCACGCACAACATCACGCTCAACATCACGCTCAACATCACGCTCAACATCACGCACAACATCACGCACAACATCACGCTCAACATCACGCTCAACATCACGCTCAACATCACGCACAACATCACGCCCAACATCACGCTCAACATCACGCACAACATCACGCACAACATCACGCACAACATCACGCTCAACATCACGCACAACATCACGCACAACATCACGCTCAACATCACGCACAACATCACGCTCAACATCACGCACAACATCACGCACAACATCACGCACAACATCACGCTCAACATCACGCACAACATCACGCACAACATCACGCACAACATCACGCTCAACATCACGCACAACATCACGCACAACATCACGCTCAACATCACGCACAACATCACGCTCAACATCACGCTCAACATCACGCACAACATCACGCCCAACATCACGCTCAACATCACGCACAACATCACGCCCAACATCACGCACAACATCACGCTCAACATCACGCTCAACATCACGCACAACATCACGCACAACATCACGCTCAACATCACGCTCAACATCACGCACAACATCACGCACAACATCACGCTCAACATCACGCACAACATCACGCACAACATCACGCTCAACATCACGCACAACATCACGCACAACATCACGCTCAACATCACGCACAACATCACGCACAACATCACGCTCAACATCACGCTCAACATCACGCACAACATCACGCACAACATTACGCACAACATCACGCACAACATCACGCTCAACATCACGCACAACATCACGCACAACATCACGCGCAACATCACGCGCAACATCACGCGCAACATCACGCCCAACATCACGCTCAACATCACGCACAACATCACGCCCAACATCACGCACAACATCACGCACAACATTACGCACAACATTACGCACAACATCACGCACAGCATCACGCACAGCATCACGCGCAACATCACGCGCAACATCACGCGCAACATCACGCACAACATCACGCACAACATCACGCACAACATCACGCTCAACATCACGCACAACATCACGCACAACATCACGCTCAACATCACGCACAACATCACGCACAACATCACGCTCAACATCACGCTCAACATCACGCACAACATCACGCTCAACATCACGCTCAACATCACGCACAACATCACGCACAACATCACGCTCAACATCACGCACAACATCACGCACAACATCACGCTCAACATCACGCTCAACATCACGCTCAACATCACGCACAACATCACGCTCAACATCACGCTCAACATCACGCACAACATCACGCTCAACATCACGCACAACATCACGCACAACATCACGCTCAACATCACGCACATTTCTACCATTTGTTTTTGACTAGTCTTAATTAAACTACAGATATCTACAAGTTAATTTTAGATGTCTAAAAATAAACACATTCGGAATGCGCATTTTTATTGGTTATAATTAGGGAGTCCCCGAGACGGAAGCAGTTTGACCCGGTGTCGGTTCCTAATGTCCGTACCAGTGGAAATAATGACTTCAATCTCAATCTCAATTTATTCATACGGCACAATAAAAACAAAAACAAAAAGCTTGAGTCCTTCCTGCTCCGCTGGTCCCATCAAAACCCTCCGCCTCCTCCGCCGGGCTCCTCCTTCAGCCCATTGGCTCCTCCTTCAGCCCATTGGCTCCTCCTTCAGCCCATTGGCTCCTCCTTCAGCCCACCGGCTCCTCCTTCAGCACACTGGCTCCTCCTTCAGGCCATTGGCTCCTCCTTCAGCCCACTGGCTCCTCCTTCAGCACACACTGGCTCCTCCTTCAGGCCATTGGCTCCTCTTTCAGCACACTGGCTCCTCCTTCAGCCCACTGGCTCCTCCTTCAGACCATTGGCTCCTCCTTCAGCACACTGGCTCCTCCTTCAGCACACTGGCTCCTCCTTCAGCACACTGGCTCCTCCTTCAGCCCACTGGCTCCTCCTTCAGCACACTGGCTCCTCCTTCAGGCCATTGGCTCCTCCTTCAGCAGACTGGCTCCTCCTTCAGGCCATTGGCTCCTCCTTCAGCAGACTGGCTCCTCCTTCAGGCCATTGGCTCCTCCTTCAGCCCATTGGCTCCTCCTTCAGCACACTGGCTCCTCCTTCAGGCCATTGGCTCCTCCTTCAGCCCACTGGCTCCTCCTTCAGCACACACTGGCTCCTCCTTCAGCCCATTGGCTCCTCCTTCAGCACACTGGCTCCTCCTTCAGCCCATTGGCTCCTCCTTCAGCACACTGGCTCCTCCTTCAGCCCATTGGCTCCTCCTTCAGCCCATTGGCTCCTCCTTCAGCCCATTGGCTCCTCCTTCAGCCCATTGGCTCCTCCTTCAGCACACTGGCTCCTCCTTCAACACACTGGCTCCTCCTTCAGCCCACTGGCTCCTCCTTCAGCACACTGGCTCCTCCTTCAGGCCATTGGCTCCTCCTTCAGCAGACTGGCTCCTCCTTCAGGCCATTGGCTCCTCCTTCAGCAGACTGGCTCCTCCTTCAGGCCATTGGCTCCTCCTTCAGCCCATTGGCTCCTCCTTCAGCACACTGGCTCCTCCTTCATTAGCCACACCTTGCAGCTCTGATTACATGTATCATAGTAAGCAATTACTATAAATTGAAAATCAAGTATTGTATACTTCTCAACACAACGCTCACATAATGTAAATATTAATAATAAAAATGACTAATATAATAATATAAATCTTCTCAATGAAAGATCTATATTGAGTGTAAATGTAACATCAGAAGAAGGAAGATATAACAAGCATAAGGAGTCCCCAATGGAACCCAGAATGCATTGCTCCATTTACACTGAAGTATTATTTCCTTTATTTTGTGGATAAAGCAGCACTTTATTCAAGATTCTGCTGAGAGCTATCCCTCTCTCCTCTTTCATATGCAAAATACACTCCAGGGGAAGACGCTTGCTTAATAGTATAAAAATGAAGGACTTTTATCAATGGACTGCTCAGCTAGGGAATATTAATAATTTTGAGTGAGAGTATTTGCATTGGTGTTTTTGTTTTATTTGTACTGCACTTTAAAGCTGCAGTACTGAAGATTATTTGGTTAAAATTGAACTAAATCCATCCTTGAGCTAGAACATCACATTAGTGTAGTGTTAGTGTTATAATGGTCTCTTTGCCTTACCCAATTCCACAATGGTCATCTTATAATACTGATGCATAATTTGAGCTGTTGGGTCAGATTTTGCAGATTGGGTCAGTTACCCACAAGGCCATGGCATGGGATAGGAGTTAGCATGGTACAATAAATCAAATTATAAAACGGTTAGTTCCAATCCTTGATTCTGATTGGTCAATAGCTGTGCTTTATTCACGATAAAACACGGCTATGACCGCTTCACCCAACGGTTCTATGTATCACTACACAACACCCCTAGCAACTTAAACAGATGTTTCATCTCATTGATATTGTTCATTTAAAGCTAGAGCAGAGCATTGTGAGAGATCGAGTAAGCGAGTGTACCTGCATTTACAGTAGACGTAGCATTTTCCTTCAGGTCAGTCCTATATTCATAATAAAAAAATGCGTTTGAATGTCCGCTGCATATTTTGTCCTTTTAACAGTCATGGGGTTTTCCGTGCATAACGTTAGTCATCTGTCAGTTGCGTCTGTCTTCTCCGTGATCACAAGTTCGAGTCCTTTCAAAAGCCTTCTCTACAGACTCACTCACTCACTCACTCATAAAGACAGTCTTTGCCGCCATCTATTGGCGAAATAATATATGTAACTTCTGTTGCTGTTCACGTTCCGGGACTATTTTTTCCAGCGGAAGGCAGGCTTTTAGTGATTTTACTTCATGAAAGTTGCATAGATACATATTTTTCGGCTTTAATATTTTTATTGTGTGGCAACCGTTTTATAAAAGCAATAAGGTACTCGAGGCAAGTGCTGTATCGTGAATAAGTAACGGCTGAAGGGGTTGCAGGCACTCCGCTTCGCGTCGTGCCTAACAACGCCCTCCAGCCGTTACTTATTCACGATACAGCACAGCCTCTCGTACCTTATTGCTTACATCAAGGATGGAAACTGCTCATTTGTCTGTTTTATTTCGCTTTTTAAAAAATAAAAATGATGTAACATGATTTGTGTAGCTTCAATGACTTTTTATTTTTTAGCAATTGAGAGGAAGCAATCTGATCGCTTACTTCAGAAGACAAAGGGATCACAGAACGGGTTCTTTTTTATAGTTTTCCAAAATGTTCTAAATAAACTGGCCAATGCAAGTGCAGAGTCAGCTTTAGCATTATTGATTTAACCATGAAGGTGGTGTTCAGAGTTCAGATTATTCCAACACCTTGTTTCCTTCCAGAATGAATCAGCATTATTAAGTGACTTGGTTGAATGAAAGTCACTAATGAAGAGCGCCACCTACTGGCACAACGATGTAACCTGAAGTGATCGGTGAAACACTGCTTCGTGAAGCCTTTGCAAATCATTTGTTTTGAATGAGTGATTCAGAGCGTGTATGACACTGCCAAAGTCTCGTGCTTTCAGGAAACAAGGCTTCTTTATGAAAAGAAGACAAGTGCAAATCAGGGAGCAAAGACGAGGGGAACCCGAAGAACGACAAAACAGAAGCAGGACACTTGAATCAAACTAAACCTAAAAGTCCAAACAAAAACAAGTAGAACGCACAGAGACAAGTCGGCCAATCAGATTTCGAGGACCAGAACTAATTGTTTAATAAATATATATTAACCCTGTCTCTGAGGATTCTCGTGTCTCCGTAAGACATCGCATGTTGTTCCATAACCGCTGTTATTTTGACAATGTGCTTCAAGACTGGACAGCAGCTCACAGATATCGACATGCCTTGTGATTTCAGAATACTCTATTCACTGTTAAAAATTCCTCCTTCTGTTGCAGACTCCGCCATAATGAATGGGGTGTACTGGTCAGAGGCTCTCAATACGGTGTTTGTGGACAACTTTAACAGAGACCCTTCGCTCATATGGCAGTACTTCGGCAGCGCCAAAGGCTTCTTCAGACAGTATCCAGGTAAGGCTGCTGTTGCTGTTCCTCATAGGCTGGCAGGGTTCATACAGAGTTTGGAAAATGCTTCATTTTACCTGATAAGATTTCAAGGTTTGAAATGTGCCTCAATTTGGATGTACTTTGAAAACGCTTTATATTTGTACCTCAGAATGTCTAGTGTGATTAAAATAAGTAACCCTTGCCCATGGGGAGTGTTGATGTAATGCTAGCGTGTAGAAGTGCGTTGGTTCAGTTCAGTGGAGACCGGATTCTTCACTGTTTCATCGGCAGCCGAGTTCAAGTGTTGGAGAGAACGACACGAAAGCTATGAAGGCGTGATGATGATCACATTTAGCTTTTTGTGGCAGAATTTTGCAGGTTAAATCTAAAAGTGCTCTGCTTTATTCTCTCCCTTGTGTCTGTGGAAATAATTGGTCCTTATAATGATGTGCCAGTGTATCATACATCAATATCTGCCAGTTAAACTAATAATCTACAATATTAGACAATGCTAATCGCTAAATGATAGCTGACGATCAACACTGATAATCCTCCTGTCCAGCAAACGGCGGCAGAAAAGCATCAGGCGCTTCAGGATTGTGCCGTGAAGAAAATGTCTCTGACGTGGAATAGTTTTGTCTTGTGTGCGAATGACTTGTGATGTGCAGCAAGAAAACAAAACGCAAGCAACGAACACACGTATAACTCAAAGCTCCCATTATAATCAGCGAAAATAAATCATGAAAGTTTGAGCCCAGCAGTTTAGTAACAAATGAGTATGGATTACGTTTTGATGCCACAAGTAACGCATTACAAGTAACGTGCATTACGTAATCAGATTACTTTTTCGATGTAACTGCTAATTACATTCTAATTTTTAAAAATTTTTATCATTTAAATTTTTAAATGCAAGAAACATAAACAGAAAATAAGCATAATAAAGATAAGAGGATTGAAGAGAGGATTGAACTTTCTCCACTTGCCAAACGATTTACACCCGATTAATGACGCGAGGGGTTCGTCAAGATCCGCTCCACTGCCCGTCCTCTGCTTAAAGCGGCAGTAGCCTTATTTACTGTCACACCTGTATGTGTTTCTTATGTGAACAGAAAATTTGCTTATTTCATTGAGACATATTTATTTTTAAATATCTTCTTTTGCACAAGAGAGAAAATCCCATTGATTTTGAACATTAAGTTGAGTAAATGATGCCATTTTTGGGTGTACTGTCCCTTCAAGTGTTTTACTCTCACTTTAATAACGGGCACTTTCTCTTTCCAGTAGATCTTTACACAGGTTACTCCAGTTAGTATCACAGGATTAAATGCATTACATTTTCCTTTTGCTGACATTGGACTCTCATCAGTTCAGTGAAATAGCGAGTCAGGGAGTAGATTAAGAGGAGTGATATTGCTTCTGGTTCATGGAAGGTAAAGTCCAGAGCTTTGCATTCTGGGATACAGTGTTCTGTCCACTACTCTGCTTGTTTATAAATGCAGTTGGTAAGCTCAGAGAAAGGGCAGACCTTGCAGTCGTAGCATCAGTAGGGTAATAACCTGATTAGACGGTCCTCTTCCTTCACAGGTATAAAGTGGACACCTGATGAACACGGCGTTCTAGAATTTGACTGTCGAAATCGGAAATGGTGAGTTATGTTTTGCCCTCAGCTTTTGAAACCTGTTAACATCAAGCTGAGGATGTACACCTCTTCTCCTTAAAAAGACTTATGGATTTAAACTGATTGTAATAAAAGCCGCTTTTCCACTGTCGGGCCAAGCCGTTCTCTTGCTGAACTGGTAGCCGGTACGGATAGGGTTTCATTATGATAACCGAGATGTTTGGAATGTAATACTAATGCGTCTGTCGTTGCCTTGGCCTTGGAGGATGATCAGATATTTCTTATAATTTTATTATTAACTTGTGTTAACTTCCCTCAAATAGCGTGCTTGGCCAACAGAGCAACTGTTAAACGTTTTTTTCGCATTTGTCTTCCTAAAAATGATAACACAATACAACACAAAACAATACAAAATGGAGTCTTCAAGCAGTGAGGATGATTTTGTTGTCCTCTCGGGAAAAAGAGGAAATATTGGTCCATCCAATCCTGAGATTGCGTAGAGAGGAAGAAGAGTTCGCTGCGGGATTATCCCGAGAGATTAGGAGTTTACTTCAGGATGTCAGAGGCTCGGTTTGATGCTTTGCTAGCGATACTGGAGACACATTTAAAAATAAAACCACCAATTTCCGTGAACCAATTGATCTGGATTTTGGCGTTCGCTTGTACGGTGGCTCTGAATTGTCAAAACACCTCAAAATGCTGGCTAACGAATGCAAAAAACATCGAAAATTGAACCCGAATTATTTAATGACGGACAAAAGTTTGGGAGGCGGTGTGTAAACGTGATTGACTATTTAATGAAATTTGTACTTATCCCAACTAAAGCCCCATTTCCATTACCTTCCAAATTGCGCAAATTGAAATCGTGAATTTAAAATACGCCCAATGGAAACACGTCAATTTCACAAAAACTCCCATTTATCGCAAAAAAGGGTTTTTACAGGCAGTTCGAAAAAGGAATATTTTGCAAAACTGCAATGGAAACAGACAGAAGACGAGACAGAGTTCTTTATTAAAATCATAAAAGACAAAAGAATTACAGGACTACCGGATTCTAACCCTCAAAGAAATGCCACAATCAAGAGCTGGAAGCAGATCTGAGGGAGAAACTCCAGCCGCTCACTGTATAAGTGCGCAAATCCGAGATGGAAACGCGGCTTAAGATTGTCAGGATGATTGTCGTGTGGTGCGCTGGGAACACAGGTACATCCAGGCGGCGACGTCTCCTAAAGATGTGGTGATCCTGGTGGATGTGAGCGGCAGCATGAAGGGGCTTCGGCTGACCATCGCCAGGCAGACCGTCTCCTCCATACTGGACACACTGGGGGACGACGACTTCTTCAACATCATCGCTGTGAGTTTACAATATCACATATCATAGTAGCTGCATCACAATATCAGTATTAACCTTCCCTCGGGTCATTTTGTTTTTAAATTGAGTGTTCGTCAGAGGGGTCCGAGACCCCAGGACTTTTGTCGCACTTGAACCACAAATACACACAAAAAATTGAATGGATTCGAGGAGTTTTAAAAAGTAATAAATCCTTCCCTCTCGGGTCAATCTGAACCCCTTATGAATGAATGGAATGCGAGGAATGCTTCAGTACACATAGACAAACCTAAAAATGCTCAAAATTCGAACAAAAAATGCTAAAACTTTAACAAAAAATGTCTACATCGTCTACATGTGTATCTGAATGCACACTGAAGTGAACTGGCTTTAGGACCCAGCGGAACAGCTCATATAGAGCTATAAGCCCAGCTAGAGTCGTGAAATATCATGTGTTATTATTTATTATTTTATGAGGGTTCAGTTACCCACACTGGTCTCATGTTTTGTGTGCCAGTACAACGAGGAGCTGCACTATGTGGAGCCGTGTCTGAACGGGACATTGGTTCAGGCTGACATTACCAACAAAAATGTAAGTGCATTTTCTGCTATACCTGCATATAAACCTCAGATAACTGTTTCTGGCCTGGGTGTTGGTGTCAGGTTTGGCAAAAGAGGAATCAATAATGGGATAAACTTAAAATAGCTTTTCTGAAGCCCATGACTGGAAAGGCATAATATACTCAGTCAAGTTTACGGGCGTACGAGGACAGAAGAAGCAGGAGAGAGAGAGTCCAGGGTCAGAGAGGGCAGACTGATGACCGAGACCAGAGGAACACACATTTACATTTACATTTACATTTACATTACATTTAGTCATTTAGCAGACGCTTTTATCCAAAGCGACTTACAACTGAGGACTAAACCAAGCGAGTCATCGTGAAGAGGCAAAAGCAACGCAAGAAGTGCTCAAAATACAAAGTTCAGCCATAGCTCGGAGTAGCATAAGGCAGGCAAGCGAGGATTTAGAGGAAAGGATTTTTTTTTTTTTTTTTTTAAGTTAAGTGCTCCCGGAAGAGATGAGTTTTCAGTTGTCTTTTGAATGTTGTCAGGGATTCTGCATTCCGGATGAGGGTGGGGAGATCATTCCACCAGCATGGAACCGTGAATGAGAATGTTCTGGATAGTGATTTTGTGCCCCGCTGTGATGGTACCACGAGCCGTCGCTCATTGACCGATCGTAGGCTTCTGGTAGGGATGTAGACTTGTAGTAGTGAGTGGAAGTAGGAGGGAGCTGAACCTGTGGTCAATCTGTAAGCAAGCGTCAAAGCCTTGAACTTGATGCGAGCAGCGAGTGGTAGCCAGTGCAGAGAGATGAACAGAGGAGTGACGTGGGCCCTTTTGGGCTCGTTGAAGACCAGACGAGCTGCAGCATTCTGGATCATTTGTAGAGGTTTAGTTGCACATGATGGAAGTCCAGCCAGAAGAGCATTGCAGTAATCAAGCCTAGAAATGACCAGGGCCTGGACGAGAAGTTGTGTTGCATGCTCAGTTAGGAAAGGCCTGATCTTCCTGATGTTGTGCATAGCAAACCTGCATGATCGAGCTGTCTTTGTAATGTGTTCTGTGAAGGTCAGCTGATCATCAAAGATTACTCCAAGATTTCTGACCGACCTTGATGGGGTGATTGAGGATGAATCTACCTGGATAGTGAGGTCGTGCTGAAGAGACGGATTGGCAGGGAGGACGAGAAGCTCAGTCTTTGCCAGGTTGAGCTGCAGGTGATGTTCCTTCATCCATGCCGAGATGTCCGCCAGACAGCTTGAGATCCGTACAGCTACTGTGGGATCATCTGGTTGAAATGAGAGGTAGAGCTGGGTGTCATCAGCATAGCAATGGTAAGAGAAACCATGTGCCTGTATGATGGGTCCCAGTGATGTGGTGTAAATGGAGAAGAGGAGCGGTCCGAGAACTGAACCCTGAGGAACGCCTGTGGTCAGTTGATGTGCTTTGGATACCTCACCTCTCCATGTGACCTTGAAAGACCTACCTGTGAGATAGGACTCAAACCAGTTGAGGGAGGTTCCAGTGATGCCCAGTGATGAGAGGGCGGACAAGAGGATCTGATGATTCACAGTGTCGAAGGCAGCAGACAGGTCCAGTAGAATGAGAACTGATGATTTGGAAGCAGCTTTTGCGATCCGCAGGGCTTCCGTGACTGACAGCAATGCAGTCTCAGTTGAATGTCCTTTCTTGAAGCCAGATTGGTTGACATCCAGCTGGTTGTTCAGAGACAGGAAGGATGATACTTGGTTAAAAGCAACTCGTTCAAGTGTTTTTGCAATGAATGGTAGGAGAGAGACAGGTCTGTAGTTCTCTAGAAGTGATGTGTTTAATGTTGATTTTTTAAGCAGAGGGGTTACCCGAGCCTGCTTAAATGCTGTAGGGAAAATGCCAGTGTGGAGGGATGAGTTGATAATGTGTGTGAGAGCTGGTAGAAGTGTGGGAGAGATGGCTTGTAGAAGGTGTGAGGGGATGGGGTCTAGAGGGCAGGTGGTAGGATGACTGGAGAGGAGAAGTTTAGATACTTCTTCCTCGGTTAGTGGAGTGAAGGAGGAGAGAAGGTTATTGGCTGTGGGAGAGGTTAGTCTGGGTTCCTGTGCTGAGAACTGACTGCTGATAGTGGTAGTTTTGTTAGTGAAGAAGTTAGCAAAATCATCAGCAGTTAAAGAGGAGGTGGGTGGTGGTGGAGGTGGACAGAGGAGAGAATTGAATGTCTTGAACAGTGAACGTGTGTTAGAGGCGCTGTTGATCTTGTTGTGGAAATATGAAGATTTTGCGGCGTGAACGTCAACAGAGAAGGCAGAGAGCAGAGATTGATACCTACTGAGGTCAGATGTGTCTTTTGATTTGCGCCATTTCCTCTCCGCTGCCCTGAGCTTGGTCCGGTGTTCACGAAGAACCTCAGATAACCAGGGGTTAGAGGGAGTGGTGCGTGCTGGCCTAGAGGAGAGAGGGCAGATATTGTCTAAAGAAGAGGTTAGGATGGAGCATAAAGTATCCGTTGCAGTATTCACATCCAGAGATGAGAAATGTGAGGGTGAGGGAAGAGAAGATGACACAGCAGAGGAAAGATGGGATGGAGAAAGTGAGCGCAGGTTTCGTCTGAAAGTAAATGGTGGGGAGGTTGGTGGAGCATGGGTAGTGAGTTGTAGATTGAAAGTAATGAGGAAATGATCTGAAACTTGGAGAGGTTTCACCAAAATGTTGTCTGTGATACAGTTGCGTGTGTAAACCAGGTCCAGTTGGTTGCCTGACTTGTGAGTACCGGTGGTGATGAGCCGTGAGATCGAAAGAGGCTAGGAGAGAGATGAAGTCTGTTGCATACGGCTTCGCTAGGTGAATGTTGAAATCGCCAAAGACTACAAGTGGGATGCCATCCTGAGGGAAAGAGGACAGCAACACATCCAGCTCTTCTACAAAGCTTCCTAGTTGACCTGGGGGGCGATAAATAACTACAATATGGATCTTCATGGGAGTTGTAAGTGTAATAGCATGATATTCAAATGAGTTGTTATTGCATAGAGAAGAGAGAGGTGAATATTTCCAATTGTTAGAAATAAGAAGACCAGTGCCCCCACCCCTCCCGGACTGGCGAGGTGTGTGAGAGAAAGAGAAGTTGTTAGAGAGAGCAGCAGGGGTTGCTGAGTCTTCTGGACGGATCCAGGTCTCAGTCAAGCCCAAGATATTAAGAGTAGAATGAGATGCAAAGGCTGGAATGAAGTCAGCTTTATTGACTGCTGATTGACAATTCCATAGACCCATAGAAAGAGTGAGAGGTGAGTGTGAGGATGAGAGAAACGGGCGCAGATAAGCAGTATTGCGCTGCCTTCTGTGCGTGGTGAGAGAGCGTTGTCGAGAGACAACAGGAATGTGTTCAAAGCACATAATGATAATGGGAAATAAGATAAAGGTAGGAAAGGAAAGGGTGAAGAAGATACTTTAAGTGCCTTGCAGGTGTCCTTGCTCGGTGGAGTCGCGCAGGTAGAGTCGCAGGTCTTTACCCGAGTCGGTCTTCACACGAGGAGGCTGAACACGAGAGCTGAATGCTTCCGCTGACGCTTCCGCGACAGCGCGCACACTACATAGAAATAATGCTATCAATCGTCTGAGTGAGGACAGCTGTGGTAGTCCTTGCAATTAGCACAGATCAATTAGCACAAATTAGCACATATTCAAAATAGGAACGCGACTAATTAAAATAAAGATATTTAGTGAAGATAAAAATTACAAAGAAGCAAAGAATCGAAAATAGCCCTACTTACTTGACAAATGGTAAACAGAGCAACAGGAGAACTGTATATTAAGAAAAAAAACAACTTACGCGCTCTTGACGTTCTCACCGAGTGACTGCTGTCCTGGCTTTCACCTGAATTTACTTCTAATTTATATCTGCTTTAACAGCCCTTGCAATTAGCACAGCGAAAGCAAGTATCCCGACAATGGCCCAAATCGAAACTAGCTGTTATGAACAGCAATACTTAAGTGCTACAATAACAAACAGACTCCAACCCTTAAGACGGCAGATATTCAAAATAGGAACGCGACTAATTAAAATAAAGATATTTAGTGAAGATAAAAATTACAAAGAAGCAAAGAATCGAAAATAGCCCTACTTACTTGACAAATGGTAAACAGAGCAACAGGAGAACTGTATATTAAGAAAAAACAACTTACGCGCTCTTGACGTTCTCACCGAGTGACTGCTGTCCTGGCTTTCACCTGAATTTACTTCTAATTTATATCTGCTTTAACAGCCCTTGCAATTAGCACAGCGAAAGCAAGTATCCCGACAATGGCCCAAATCGAAACTAGCTGTTATGAACAGCAATACTTAAGTGCTACAATAACAAACAGACTCCAACCCTTAAGACGGCAGATATTCAAAATAGGAACGCGACTAATTAAAATAAAGATATTTAGTGAAGATAAAAATTACAAAGAAGCAAAGAATCGAAAATAGCCCTACTTACTTGACAAATGGTAAACAGAGCAACAGGAGAACTGTATATTAAGAAAAAAAACAACTTACGCGCTCTTGACGTTCTCACCGAGTGACTGCTGTCCTGGCTTTCACCTGAATTTACTTCTAATTTATATCTGCTTTAACAGCCCTTGCAATTAGCACAGCGAAAGCAAGTATCCCGACAATGGCCCAAATCGAAACTAGCTGTTATGAACAGCAATACTTAAGTGCTACAATAACAAACAGACTCCAACCCTTAAGACGGCAGATATTCAAAATAGGAACGCGACTAATTAAAATAAAGATATTTAGTGAAGATAAAAATTACAAAGAAGCAAAGAATCGAAAATAGCCCTACTTACTTGACAAATGGTAAACAGAGCAACAGGAGAACTGTATATTAAGAAAAAACAACTTACGCGCTCTTGACGTTCTCACCGAGTGACTGCTGTCCTGGCTTTCACCTGAATTTACTTCTAATTTATATCTGCTTTAACAGCCCTTGCAATTAGCACAGCGAAAGCAAGTATCCCGACAATGGCCCAAATCGAAACTAGCTGTTATGAACAGCAATACTTAAGTGCTACAATAACAAACAGACTCCAACCCTTAAGACGGCAGATATTCAAAATAGGAACGCGACTAATTAAAATAAAGATATTTAGTGAAGATAAAAATTACAAAGAAGCAAAGAATCGAAAATAGCCCTACTTACTTGACAAATGGTAAACAGAGCAACAGGAGAACTGTATATTAAGAAAAAAAACAACTTACGCGCTCTTGACGTTCTCACCGAGTGACTGCTGTCCTGGCTTTCACCTGAATTTACTTCTAATTTATATCTGCTTTAACAGCCCTTGCAATTAGCACAGCGAAAGCAAGTATCCCGACAATGGCCCAAATCGAAACTAGCTGTTATGAACAGCAATACTTAAGTGCTACAATAACAAACAGACTCCAACCCTTAAGACGGCAGATATTCAAAATAGGAACGCGACTAATTAAAATAAAGATATTTAGTGAAGATAAAAATTACAAAGAAGCAAAGAATCGAAAATAGCCCTACTTACTTGACAAATGGTAAACAGAGCAACAGGAGAACTGTATATTAAGAAAAAAAACAACTTACGCGCTCTTGACGTTCTCACCGAGTGACTGCTGTCCTGGCTTTCACCTGAATTTACTTCTAATTTATATCTGCTTTAACAGCCCTTGCAATTAGCACAGCGAAAGCAAGTATCCCG